CCACATTCTCCCAGTGTTCATGCTTTCTTTGTTTCTCTGGTGAATTTACTGAAAGCAATCATCATCTCCTCCCAGACTGTGCAGCATGAGGATAAATAAAAAACCCTGTTTCCTCTTACAAGACTCTCCCATCCTAGTTATCACTACAGTAGCTATTTACACTAGTTAAAGTATAAACTAATCTTCCTTAATCAATGAAGGTATTCCTTAAGTAACATTAACTCTATCACATATAATGATATCTGTATTTCCTCACTGGCAATACTGTTCTCTGCAAATGCTAGAGTTCTTTTAATATTTCATTGCCTTGTAATTTTCCTATCTACATTCTCTCTATCCCCTTAAACTATCCCTTTGTCTTCACAACCAATATCACTATCCTTAATGAGAGCTAAATAAGCATTCATTTAGTTCTGCAGGCCACAGAGCATCTGTCCTATGAAGAAAGGATGAGGGAACTGGGAGTGTTTAGCTTGGAGAAGGCTCTGGGGAGACCATACTGCAGCCCTCCAGTACTTGAGCCGAGTTCATAAGCAGCAGGCTGATAGTGACAGGTCAAGAGGAAATGACTTGAAACTAAAAGAGGAGGATTTAGATATCAGAGGGAAATTCTTTACTTGGACAGTGGTAAGGCATTGGACCAGAGACGTTGTGGATGTCCCATCCCTGGAGGTGCCCAACGCCAAGTTGGATGGGGCCCTGGGCAGCTTGATCTAGTGGGTTGGCAATGATGCCATGGCACAGGACTGGAATTGGATGGGCTTTGAGGTACCTTCCAGCCTAAGCCAGTCTATGATTCTATGATTTATTTACTGTGTCATCCTCACTGCACACTACATCTTTCCTTATTCCTTTTTTATTAATATAAATCAAGAAATATTTTCCAGAATGTTCAATATTTCCTGCAAGCTTTAACTTACTTCTGGGAATTCTCACTTCTTTTTCTCAAAAAGACAATTCTGAAACAGTTTCAGACTTCTTCACCATTTTTTTTCTAGAAACAGCCTTTATTCTTCTCTTTCATCTAGCTAAAGCATCAACCTTTTCCCAGAAGACTATCCTTCATTTTAATATTAACATTTCACAATACTTCTACCTTAGCAAATTCAGATCTCATTCACATTAAAACCTCAGTTAACTGAGCTGTTTTCCTTAATTTATCAAACCCTACTCTTTCCTCCACCTGTCCATTTAATTTACAATGAAGAAACCAGATTACTTAATCCAAAATTACTCTCCACAGCTGTATTCTGATTAGATGCTGTGAAAAGTTGGAAAATCTAGAGTAAGAAAAGATAACATTTTTAAGATCAATCTTAAAAATCTTTTTTCTCTGTCATAGCCTTACTTAGAACATTCTTCCCAGACGTTAAGTGATTCTGACCATCTTTCTATGTTGTTTTTCCTCCGCTGAAGATTTATTCTCTAGTCTAAACCATTACAGATGATATTTAGACTAACTATATAGGTTTCACTTATAATAGAGAAGAGAAAATTGCTCTGCATCCGTAGTTCTGCTCTGCTACAGCTGGTAACATATTTTATCCTTCGATACTCAAAGCTGAGTCATAGAGCATACGTAAAATTTAAGAATGTAACACTGATTTCAACACACATTTTTACTTCTCCACAGCACTTACTTCACAGTTTTGTAAATTCAGTTATGACTATTTGTTTCAGCAGTACTAAGATAAATGCTTATCAACACAAAGAAGAGCCTGAAGAACATCATCCAACAGTGTGATCCAAAGCACAGCTGCCTGAAAGATGTAGCAGCATGAATTTGACAAAGTGCTCAACAGTTCTCACTACAAAGTATCCAAACAGAGCCAAAGATTTTAACAGTGCATAAGAATTCATTTTGTCCGTCTTTACCATTTGCTTTATTAAATGGGATATACCTCCACAAGGATGTGACCTCAGTGCTAACTTTCATGGCTTGCATAGAGTTCTTTAAAAGGGTTTTACAACTAGTTAGGTATCTACTTCTGAATTTTGTTTTCGAAAGAATCATATGCTGCATTCCTCTACACCAAATACTTGTTTTAAATGCTGCTAATTTGCTCAATCTCTCTTTGACCTTATTTTAATGACTGCAGCTCGTAGTGCTGGTTAGTAAAGCTTAGATCCCTCAAAATGGATGGGGCTTTGAGGATCGTGGTCTAGCGGGAGGTGTCCCTGCCTACAGCAGGGGGACTGGAACTAGATGATCTTAAAGGTCCCTTCCAATCCAAACCATTCAATGATTCTATTATTGTTGCCTGTATTATAGCTTTTAGCTCTCCTAGACATTGACAACCCATTCTATCAAACTTCAAATCATCTTTCAAACTTCTAGAGTAAGCAAGGAAAACAGTATACTTCTCACCAAATGGCTATAACAGAACTCAAGGACAGGATAACAATTAAGAAACTATTTGGAGATTCCTTCTTCACCTTAACATTAACCAGAACCTCCACACACACACACACACACACATGCGTGTGCAGACACACACACACACAAAATCAGTCAACTTAAACCCTATATATGTGTGAGCTCTTCTCAAATGTAGAGAAACATGCAGAGAAGCTTTTTTAAATTCTGTCAGACTACAGCTCCATATACATTTTAAAGTTGCAAATGATTCTGTCTTGCAGAATTGAAAGACAAGCTCCTAGGATAGTGACTGGCATGCCTTTTCTCTACAAGCAGCACAGTTACTTGTACGGCAGAAATCAGATACAAACTTCCTGGGGAAGAAGAAATGGGCACAGTTTTTTATTTACCCAGTAACTATCAGTTACTATCAGTAACCATCCCCAGTAACAGTTTAATGCTATACAGGAGGCCCATGGAAGTAGCATGCTTGCTATTTTTGAATTGAGAGGTAGAAGCTCCCATCATAAGCAGGTTAGCTAGGAAAAAGCTCCAGGATGGGGAGCCAAACCATGAGAAATCCTTTGTTATTATTCCCTGATCACTAGTCCTGAAATTTAAACACTTTTTCAGCTTCTCTGTTAGAAAGTCACAGCAAGATCATAGACACACAGAATGGTCTGGGTTGGAAGGGACCTTTAAGATCATCTAGTTCCAGTCCCACTGCTATAGGCAGGGTCACCTCTCCCTAGACCAGGTTGCTCAGTGCCCCATCCAGCCTGGCCTTGACTACTTCGAGGGAGGGGGCATTCACAACCTCACCTGGGCAACCTGTTTCGGTGTCTCATCAGCCTCTTCCAGTTTAAAGACATTTCCCCACATCCCTCATCCTTTTGCTGCATGCCCTTATGAAAAATCCCTCCCCAGCTTCCCTTAGGCCCCTTCACGTACTGGAAGGCTGCTACAAGGTCCCCCCAGAGCGTTCTTTTCTCCAGGCTGGTAGCCCCAACTTCCTCAGCCTATCCTCATAAGAGAGGTTCTCCAGCCCTCAGATCCTCTGGACCCCCCGCCCCCCTGCCCCCAACAGCTCCATGTCCTTGTGCTGACTGCCCCAGAACTGGACGCAGTACTCCAGATGGGGACTTATGAGAAGCCAGTCATGCTTCCCTTGATTCAACCCAGGACACAGCTGGCCTTCTGGCCTGCAAGTGCACATTGCCTGCTCATTTTGAGTCTTTCACGAGAAGAGTATACTAAGGGTGAATATATTAAGTTTGTCGTCAGCATCGTGCTCATCCTTGTTCACTGCTGTGAATCCTCTTCTGATACAACAAACTTTAACAAGTACTCTGGAAAGTCCCCAGATCACAGAACGATTCAATTCAACAGTTAATGTGCCAAAGAAATCAGGTTCTGTATCCTTCACCAACTATCTAAGTTAACTTTCTGCAGCCGTATCTAGAATAGAAGCTGCAAAAATGAAGAAGTGCAACTTCCCATCAAAAACTCTGAAAGTTTCCTTACATGCAAAAATTGTACTGTTACTTTGTGTGGGTCTTCTAATGCAAACACTTCACAGTTGTCTCTGAATGCATTTTATATTAATTTAGCTAAGATCAGTCTTTATATGACACATCTAATTCAACGTATGGTTAAGAAAGGATACATAAATAAAAAGGCTGTACTAAGATTTGGGAAATAGAAGCAGAGTTCAAAACCACAACTTCCTGAAACAAATCTGATTCAAAGGTGCTATTAACTAACAACTTAATTTTCTCCTCCTGAAGCAAAGATGATTTTCAATTTGAAAATCTGCCAAATAAAAAATCTTCAAGTCATATTTTGGTTTAGAACCACATTTCTTCCTAAGGTTAAGCGATTAATTATTTTATGATGCTGAAATGGTTTGATGACCAGGCTTCTACCTCAAATGCATACAACACATTATTCCCAGTATTTCCACATTTTTTCCTTTGGTAGATCAAGAGCTCAAAATACTGACCCTACATGTTTTGTGTAATCTAACAGGTCATGGGGAGAACTTGCCGTAACAAATCCATATTAATGGTTAATTAATTCAAATACATATTTGAAGAGATATTAATACAGGATGCACCATTCATTAACGGAAAATCCTTCTCAAGCTGCATGTTCTGAAGTACACCTCCTAAACAGGACGACTTCATTTTTGAGTAGAACTCAATGCTTTTTTTTTTTCTTTAATACATATTTTTATTTCAACAAGTTCTATCAGATGGGTCTTCAAAATTTAAACTCTCTACATTAAACTCTCTACATTCATTTTACACTGGAACAGGTTGCCCAAGGATGTTGTGGACGCCACATCCCTGGAGGCATTCAAGGCAAGGCTGGATGTGGCTCTGGGCAGCCTGGTCTATTGGTTGGCCACCCTGCACATGGCAGAGTGTTGAAACTAGCTGACCTTTTAGGTCTCTTTCAACACCAGCCATTCTATGATTCTATGATGCTATATGATTCTATGATTAAGGAAGACTTCCAGGATTAAGCCCTAAGAGGAACTACTTTTCAGAAAGGCTGTGTAAGCAATTCATTCTGAAGACTGAAAATAAAACTGAAGCAGGACAGGAGGGTAGGGGAAAAAGAGAGAGAAAGTGCTCACCTGTCTTTGTAGTTTATCACTGTATCAATGATGGCATTCATTTGCTTTGTCAGTTTGGGTGGGTTAGGTGATAATTTTTCTGCAGGAGGTCTGCCTCTTCTTTTCTTTGCTTTCTCTCCATCCTCCTTCCCAGAGTCCTTATCCACATTTCTTCGTCTCTTCCGCTTTTTAAGCCGGACTTCCTCTTCCATTTCTTCCAAATTGCCGTCTTCAATCGCCTGAAAGTCATGGATTCAAAAAGTACAATTTTAAAACAAAGTATGTATTGCAAAAAGAAATAACAAACTATATTTAAAAACATAAGTGAAGCCCCAAAGGATGCAGATAATGCAACTGTAAATACTCAGTTCACTTATCCGAAAAGTTTTCCTGTATAAAAAGAGTTCAACAAAAAACTGAGTTGCTGGCAAAGTGTGCTGACACACTGCACGCTAATTTGATCTAAAAATCCTCCAGTCCTCTAAACGAATAAATATTTATCTGAACCTTAAATTTCACACCATGTCACAGTTTCACAGAAAATGAGGGCCTGTGGTACTGTGTCAGTAAGTATACAGGAAACAGTTGTTTGTTACAACTGGCAGTTCTTGATTATTTAGCTGTACACAAAACAGAATTTTATGTTGCTTGATTTCAAATAGGACAATCTACACTACACTCTGCTCCCAAAACCAGATCACACACAGTTCTTTGTTCACACAAACAATGCACAGCTAACTTACACATTAACAATAAGAATCAGATTCTCTTCCAAATAGTTTAAGTAACTTAAAAATCATCTAAACATTAAAGCCAGCTATTAAGTACATAATTGTCTTCTACAATGGTATCTTAAGAAAAGAGCCAGAAGAACTGACAATACAGTGCTCTGCAGTAAAAAGCACTCATAACATGGGATGCAAAAAAAAAAAAAAAAAAAAAAAAAAAGGAAAAAAAGAAGCACCACCACACAGTCACAAACAATGAACACCGGATTCCATTACCTGGATGTTTGCTTTTAATCAGACCCAGCAGCACCATACAGGGAGATTAAGAAAAAAAATTGCTACCAAAAACAAAACAAAACAAAACAAAAAGAAAACAAAACAAAAAACCTAGGGAAAAAAGGAATCCGTTTACACAATGACTAACAGATCCACGTGATAAACCAAAAAGCTGAACTTTTCTTCCTTTGAGAAAGGCTCCCCCCCCTTCCCACTCAAAAAAATAAAATAAAATAAAATAACATAATAAAAAAGAAAAGAAAGAAAAAACACCTGGGTCATAAAGGAGCTGGAATTAAAAGGAAAAAAAAAACCCAAAGAAACTTAAAACTAGTCTTTCTGATTAACGCTTTCTCGGAACGTAACTGTTGTTGATATTTGTCCCTTTTGCCTCTCAATATTGCCTGGAGTACATGCGAATGCTAATCAATCCTTTCTCGAAGCTGAAAGAGCTCTAATCATAAGGCAATTACCTTCATTTTTCCACAGCACCAAACATGGCTAATATTTATGATCATGTGAGCATAACAATCTACATGAAAAGAGTCATTACAGCCCAGACATAATTTCTTTCAATTGTGTACAATGTCTCTTGAAAAACGTTTTGTGAACAAAACCTGGTGCGCAACACAGAACAACCTGGCATGTTAAAAACACCAGTGGGATTTCAAAATCTGTTTCCTATGCATTCTCCAGTGTGCAAATCCACAGAACAAACACGAACACGCAGAATCCTGAGGGACAGCCTGAAACTAGGCCTTAATAATGAAAAAACAATTTACATCATGCTTCCACAGCACTCAGATAACCATTATGAAGGAGGCTTGAGATCTGATGAGTTAGGAAGAAAAAAGAATGAAAAAAAATCTGCACACAAATTCATTAATATTCATTTGGCTAAAGCAGGACACCCACTACAAACCACTGCAGCTAACGAAGATAGAGAAATTTCTCTGCATATCTTGGAAGCTAGAAATGCTAATAATAAATACAGCATGCAAGGCTGTCAACAGTTAATGTCATTGCTCTCCTTAAGCACACAGTGGTACACAGAATTACAGAGAGCACCGACTTTTGATGTGTTAAACACCTACACATGCCTGTGATGTACTTCTACTGAATCTTCAAGACAGCAATGAAAAAGGATATTTACCTTACCACTATCAGCAGGCCAGCTATCGGAAATCACAGTTAGTGGGGATAAAATTAACAAGCCAGCAAAGCAGCGAGCTGCTAGTCTCTTCATCAGCTGATCAGGAAAAAAAAGAGAGCTGGGGAAAGGCTATGTTTTCATATACAAGTAATTTTATTTTACTGAAATTTAATACTGAAAGGATTGTGGATACTCAAATCTGCTGTTTCATTCTACCTACCACAAGGCCTGAAGCCTTCCTCCTTCAGCCTGCTTTGATATTGACAACTACTTATCGTATTTTTCCCTTCATTATTCTAGCCATCCAAATTAGATTTTTAGTTGAGCAGTTATTTATTCTTGCTAGTATTTCAACTGCAATGGCAAAATTAAACAATTTCACATACGAATCTAAATCTGCATTCGGTTGCATGCATTTTAAAGAGATATTTATCACAGAAAATGTATTCCTACTGCTCTGCAGCGAGCAGATCAGGTTTTGGTTGCTGAAACTGATAAAATGCTATTATAATTGACAAGAAGGTAAAAACAAACAAGTTATCATTTTGTTAACTTCGGTATAATTTGGTTGTCTTCCAGAAAATTGGCATCTGCTCAATTACAATAATCTGTGTTTTTGTCTCCTTGTTAAACGTTCTGCTCCCAAAAAATGTTACCATCGCCTCAGAGTATACAGCCATGTTATTTTATAATTATACATATAGCTCTTGCTTACAGTATACAGTAACAGTTTAACAAAAAAAAAAAAAAAAAAAAATCATGACAGAAGGAAAAAATAAAGATACATTTTTTTTTAAATGCTACACATTTGGCAATGAAATAAAACTTCAAAATAAAAATAAAACCCAAGGAAAATAACTCTTACACTTCTATTTTTAAAATTAGTGACAAGCAAGTAGTAAACTAATGCATAGCATACCACAGGCCTGCAAATAAACACTAAAATTTTCTACTTACACCAATTGATTACTATAATCAGCTTTCAAAACTTACACACACATATGTAAACTTGGATAGTTTTTCTGAACTAAAGGCTTAATTTACAATTTCTTTTGACAGCGCTTGCAAACGAATTTTGAAACACAAGCAGCTCAAAAATGCTATTAATGCGACAACATTGGTTCCTAAGCAGTAAATCTACATTTTGGACATAAATTGTAGTATTTAAAACAAAACTTAAAACTTATTAGTTATGCTGCCCTAGATATGGCTTAAAACCCACAAAAATCTAGTAAGAGCAAAGGTGTTAACGATCTATGTATGTACTTACTCATGTGCATATACAACAAAATTTCTATTAAACTAATCCATCTGATTGAACCTCTATCTATAGGATATATATCTATATATCTACCGGTAGTCCTAGACTACCGTTCTAGGACAGAAGTGACACTGGTGAGCAGTGAGAGAGTCAAGAAAGACAGTACACAAACAAAACTTTAACAACTTCCTTCTCTTAAGGAAACAAGACAAAAGAGTACAATAGCCTGAAGCCTTCATTTTGAAAGAAAGCCATGATGCTGTGACAATTTAATAGAGTCCAATTTTGCGAAGGACTGACACCTCTTCAAAGGCAGAGAAGCAGCCACTGGAAGCGTCATGACTCATTTTAAGTCTACCACTGACAAAACTTTCCTGAATCTTATTGTTGTATTCCAGTCCACGTAAACAAAACTATTTCCTTTCTCAATTGGGGCTTCAAAATTGTAAGAAAGAGTATATAGGCCACAAATTACAAAGTCAAATCTCCTTCATCTGAAATAGAAACCCACACAAACACAAAAAGTTGATTTTTGAGAAGCCAAACAGAAGTAATTGATTCTTAGTCAACGAACGTTCATATTGCTGCTTGCAATTACATTTTCTTCTTTGTAAATGAAACTATCTTAGCTATTTGGAGGTGGAAGCATTAGTAAATCTGGAGACTATGCTACAAGAGTCCCACAGAAAAGATCAAAATGAAAACAAATTTGTACCCCCATTAAAAGAATAGGGCATTAAAGAAGCAGCTGTAGCTATGCAGTTAGATTCTTGAAAACACGACACATTATTGAACACCAGTATTGAACACATTTTCAACTTATACTTACAGATCCAAGCAAACATGAAGAGCTACAGCAGTGTGGTGTTTTGTGACTACCTTCCACAAGCATCATATAGGTCTTAGATCAGTTCTGAACTCATTTTACAGGAATCAAACAACTTCATAGAGTTAATCAGTGGAGGCGCAGAGAATAGTATCAGATTTGGTATGTAAGTCCTGTCTCTAATGTTCATACTACACAACTTTGAAGACAGTTATTTTTCTTTTGATATAACTACAGTATGACTAAGCTAAAGCATACTGAAAAGGCATTGCTATTACTTACAGTCAAAGACACTAAAGACACAAAAGGAAATAAAAATGTAGTTGGGAGACATGATAAATTTACTTGATGATAAAAATGTGTTGAAAATCCCGAAAACATAAATGAACAGGAAAAGTATGCTAGCATTTATATTCTCTAAGCACAAATACTAGCTCAGGTATGCAAACTTTTCAGAAGTCTGAGCTTTTCCAGGGACAGTAAGTAGCATGCACTTGTGGTTTAACCCAACAGCAGTTCAGCAACAAACAGCCATTTGCTCACACCACCTCAGCTCAAGGTGGGATGGGGTAAGGAATCAGAAAAAAAAAGGAAGTAGTACTCACAGGCACATGTTAAAATAGAAACTATTTACTAAGACAGCGAAAAAAAAAAAAAAAAAGGGAGAGAGAAAGAGAACTGACTATGATAATAACAGTATAAATGTGTATCTATAAAAAAAGGGACACACAATGCACCTGCTCACCTTGCACACATTCATGCCCAGCCAGTCCCAGAGCAGCAGTTGCCACCCAATCAGTTCACTCTTCTCGGTTTTATGTTTTTTTTACATGATGCCAAATAGTATGGAACATACCTTTGGCCCATTTAGGTCAGCTGCCCTGGTTCTGTCCCTTCCCACTCCTTGTGGCCCACCAGCCTTTCGCTGGCAGGGCAGTATGACGAGCTGAAAAACCGAAATGTCCTTGGCTCTGTGCAGCACTGATCAGCAACAG